GATAGGGTCTCGCTAAATTGCTTAGGGCCTCACTAAATTGCTGAGGCTGACTTTGAACTTGTGATCCTCGTCCTTCAGTCTCCCAAACTGCCTAGGATTAAAAACATGCACCACCATGCCCAGCTAAAATTTCTAACAAGTCTATTTAACAACAACAACAAAAAAAATGGACTAGAAATCCAAATATCCAGAGCAATTCAATAGAAGAGTTCAAAGGATTTGGCTTTACAAACATTAGATGTTTTTTAAAAATAATGTCTTGCTGGGCATGGTGGCACATGTCTGTAATCTCAGACTTGCGAGGCCAAAACAGGAGGGCTAAATGTTTGAGGCCAGACTTGGTAATTTAGCAAGACCCTGTCTCAAAATAAAAAATAAAAAGGGTTGGTGATGTAACTAGTGTGATACAGTGCCCCTGGGTTAAATTCCCAGTAACACATATTCTCTCTCTCTCTCTCTCTCTCTCTCTCTTTCACACACACACACACACACACACACACACACACACCCCTATTTAAAAAGGGACAAAACCAGTGAAACTCCACATCATGAACAACCACAAGAATGGAATTAATTAGAATTAATTAATTAGAATAAGTTATACTCTGTATAACTTATGTATAATGTGTCAAAACACACTCTGCTGTTATATATATATATATATCTACAAAGAAAAAATTTTTAAAAAGGGGGAGGGAGAAAGGTAAATAAAGTTATCTGCTGTGGAAATCTCATTTAGCCAGTGACCAAGCACCACTCAGAGGGTGGGAGAACTCAGGTTTATTTACCAGTGGGCCAGGTGAGCTAGCGCTCCAGGTTCTGGGCAGCGAGCTGAGGTTACATGAGGCTTTTATAGGAAATTCGACATCCTTTCTGAGCCATTACAACTTTGGTGGGTTTGAATTCTTGGCCTGTGTGACCAAACACCGTGCACAGGAATTCTCGTGATGAGCAATTCACAGATGGCGAACAAAAGTGTGAAACACCTGCATGTGACATTGCAAGTGAAGTGGCCTTCACCACAGGCAGCAGTGACTCAAAATAACTTAAGCTTACATCCCTAAGAATTATTAAAACCAAAACCACAACAAAAAACACCTAGCATAGAAATGCCACTATTTAAACAACACTCTAAAGACACCAGTAATTAAGTTATCGCTTAAGTAACACTCTTCCTCTCTTTACAATGACCAAAGCTATTCAGTAATATTTCCCTCTTCATAACTACTTCATTAAAATATATAAATAAATAAAAATGGACAAAGGACTTGAAGAAAGGCAAAACAAAAGTAAAATAAATAAAAGTAACATATGGGTTCATTGGGTCCTTAATGTAAATATTCACAGCTTTTGATAAACTTTAAATACAAATCTGTTTCATTTCTTAGAACTAACACAGGAAAATAATTAAATAAGTCACAAATTAACTGTAGAAGTAGTCAAATAGCCATGACCTAGGAAGTTTGTGTTGAAATCTAATTATATGTTGAACTCTATCGTAGGTGGTGCTGGGGATGCCATAGAGAAACAAGATGGCCATCTAAAAAAGGCCCCTTGTGTGATGTCAAATGCAGATCCCGGTTGGTGTTATCATTCCCATTTGAAATGAGGAAACTGAGGCTTTACAACTCTCCCAAGTCATATTTTTTTCCCGAGTTGGTGTAAAGACTGGCAATGACTGGACGTAAAGCACGTGGTACAGGCCTGAGGTGTCGTGGGGGCATGGTCATCTGAAGACAGTGGCCAGTAGGTAGCCTTGGGTTGAAAGGGAATGATTCGAGGTCAGAGGTCAAAACAATTCAGGGCTGAACCAGCCCCCCTCGTGAAAAGTTCCGGAGGAAGTGAGAAAAGGAAGATAGCTGGGTTCCTGGGAGTGATTGGGAAGGAAATTTTCCTTATGCAATGAAAGAAAAGTTCTAAGGAGCTCACATGAGGCCAAGGCAGAGGGATGGAGGCATGCCCAGGGGAGGAGAAATGCTGGAAAGGGTGCAGATGCAAAGAGGCTGCCGGCCAGACTTCACTAAGTCGCAGCCTGGGGCCTCCTCAAAGGAAGGAAGCGATTATTGAGAAGGAATGATAGTTGCTTGTTTTTCAAACGTTAAAATGAGCTTGTGTGTGGTTTTTGTTTTTTTTTTTTCCTTAAGAAAAGTTTAATAAACATCATGAGACATCAAAGATTTAATGTGAGTTAAATATTTAGACAAAGAAGAACCAGGGAGAAGTCATTTTTATTCTTCAAGTTTGCCAGGTGTGGGCTGGGGATATAGTTCAGTTGGTAGAGTGCTTGCCTCCCATGCACAAGGCCCTGGGTTCAATCCCTAGGACCACCAAAAAAAAAAAAAAAAAAAAATCCCAGTTTGCCAGGAATTATTTTGAGAAAAACAATCATTTATTTATTTATTTTGGTACTGGGGGTTGAATCCAAGGGTATTTAACCACTGACCCACATCCCCAGCCCTTTTTACTTTTTATTTCAAGACAGGGTCTTGCCAAATTCCTTAGGACCTTGCTAAGTTGCTGAGGCTGGCCTCAAACTTGTGAACCTCTTTCATCAGCCTCCTGAATCAATGGGTTTACAGGCATACATCACAGCACTCGGCAAATGTTTGTTTCTTAAAGGAGAAGATGAATTTGGATTTTTTTTCCTTTTTGGTGGTGCTGAGGATGAAAATCTAAACTTGTGCAGGCTAAGCACACAGCCTACCCCTGAGTTTTATCCCCAGAAGATAGATAAATTACTTGGAGGGGCTTAGAATAACCCTGCAAAGCAGGGGGTATTTTCACAGGAAAGAGTGATGAGTTATTGGTTTTAATGCGGAAAGCTACAATGGTTTAAAAATCACTCTCAGGTTTTTATTTGAAATATAAATGTTAAGATGCTTCTAATTTAGGGAACCAGGCATGAATGTGAAATAATTTAACAATTTAAGTCTGGCTTCTCAGGATTTGCTAGAGGCATGAATAATGAGATTGCACAGATCCACTTTTTAAAGACCATTATATTTTATGTCTCATCAGAGCAGTTGAATAAGAAGTCGTAAACTATGTAAATTTTTGCATAGTAAAATGTAATGAAAACCAATTAATGAAAACAAAGACTGTTTGATTTTTTTCCCCTTTTATTTATTTATTTATACAAATAGAGACTGATTTTTAATGGATGTTTTGGGCACATATAAACCTTAAAGCGGGGAGGGATGATACGAGGAAAAAAAGATAAACATGAGAAATATTTTGTGCTTGAAAGATTTACCTTATTGGCCATTTTGATTATCAGAAAATAAAAGTAAAAAGACTTGCCTAATTTTCTTGGATTATCTAGAGGGAAAAAATGCAGTTACTTAGATTTAGTTATCCTTTTAATAACTAGTTATGCCTGCCCCGTGACAGCCTCCATTTTGGCTTGGAGAGATACTGTGCATTCTGTTTCCTCAAAGTGATGATGATGGTGATGGTGATTAGTTGGTACCAGGAACTGAACCCAGGGGCGCTCAACCACTGAGCTACAGCCTCAGCCCTTTTTTAAAAAAAATGCATAAATTAAAATTTTATTTATGAATATATGAATCACGCCACATATCTCCTTCAATAATTTCAAAAGCAAGTAATATATTTTATTTAGTCAAACTGATGAACTATTTTTTTTAATTTTTTAATATTTATTTTCTAGTTCTCGATGGACACAACATCTTTGTTTGTATGTG